TTTGAGTATTATTTGCTTTGAATTTTATTTTGAATTTGTATTTTAACTGGAAATTAAAAAAAAATAAAATAAATAAATAAATAAACGGGGCAGGCCCGCGCCCCGCACCCGCCCCACCATGACCCCCACCCAGCCCCGCCCCGTCTAAGGCGGGGCGGGAAGGGGAGTGGCAGGGCGAGGCTGGGGGGGTGCCCGTCCCCGTTGCCATCACTACAGCTATGTAGCTGCCTATTTAAATGTAGTTGTGTTGCCTTTGTATTATATATAAAAAAAAAATTAAAAAAATAAAATTGGACCAGCCCTTTGAGGCCCGAGCTTTGCTCGGCTCGAGCTAAAAAAAGTCCAAACCAATTTTGCTCGAGCCGAGCCCGAACTTCGAATTTCAGCTCATTGCCACCCCTAGGTGCATTTGATTACGAGCATGAAATTTGTATGGAAAGAAAATAAATTTTAGGCAATTCACTAATTTGTATGGAAATTATTAATTAAATGTGTTTGATTGATTTAGTTTTCAACCTAAAAATTATTATACTTGTCCTTTTTTTTGGTGTGGAGATGGGAAAGACAGTATAGATGAGAGAGAGAAAGAGAGAAAGAATTGCCTGAAAAATAAAAGCATACCCCTCTTTAAAGAAAATGTTTTCGTAGAAAACCCTCTAGAAACGTTTCCATATGCAATATACCTCTTACCTATTAGAAATCATAGAAAATCCCCTTGTTTGAAATCTTTTGTGTAAAAACCCCCTACGGTCAAAATCCATTAGATTTGTCATTAAAAACCGTAAAAAATGTCAAAAATAAAAAGAAATAATTACTATTTCAATACCCAAACTTTTTTATTTTAAAATGAAAAATTAAATCCAAATTATTTTTATATCTACAATCTCAAATCTTTAAAACTTTATTTTCCATCTCATCCCACCCCCACTCCAATTCATCTTCTTCCTCGCAAACAGAGGTGGTCATCAATCCTTTTGATTTTGTACAGCTCTTATATTTTTTGTACATTGTGCAATAGGAGCTTTTATTTAGAGTACATATCAGTAGCTAAAGACATTCATTGTAAGATGTCTGAAGCTAGTTAAACCCATTTTGTCCGCCAACTATAGAGATTCATAACACCACCTTCTGGCCACCAAGGCCATCAAACCCAACCACCACCCTCGCTGCATTCTCTCCTACATTCTTTGGCAACATTTTTTAAACGTTGCCGTAGGTTTTTGGCAACGTTTAAAAAACGTTGCTGTAGGTCATATATAGTTTTTTTTTATATAAACGATTTATGTAAATTGATCGACAAAACTGAAAATACTCCTTTTGAACAAATTTTAAAATTGCATTAAAATTGATAATTTCATTACAA